TGGGGAGATGGTTCCAGAGGTGGTTCAGTTAGAATTCCAATCATCACCAAAGAATTGGGCTAAGGGTATTCTTGATATTTAATTATTTTAGTTATTTTGAAGATCGAAGACCTGCAGCTAATATTGATCCATACTTAGTAGGATCAGTGCTTGTTGATATAACTTTGCTTGGAGGAACTAATTTAGAAAAATTGAAGTAAGAGTTATTCAAATCAAGTCAACCATTATCATGATCAAATATAAAAATATTAACAACAAAATATTAATATATATTTTTTGAATATTGCAAATTAATATGAAATTATGCAACCAAATATTTAGGAAGTTCAATTATGAGATTAAATAAGTAAGGGATAATTTAAATAAGAATGACAATCAGAATTTATTTAATTATGGTCAGAAAACATATATAATAAGAAAAAATGATTTAGTATTTTTATATTTATAGAGTATCTAAGCGGAATCTTAATATCAGTTGATAAAATGATATTGGTAAATTTTCAATTATATTAAGTAAGCAAATCTAAATGATTAAGTTATCAAGAATGATTAATCTTAAAAAATTTTATAGTTTAGGTGAATATCAAAAATTTATATAATATTTAGAAGTTAATTATAAGTAACTTATTTTCTAAAGGATACGATGAAACAAATAAATTAAACTACGAAAATGAAATTATTAAGAATATATTATTTTAATGCTTTAATTTTTATTTGATAAATAGCTAGATTAAATTATATTCAAAATAATTTTATTTATTCTTTTTTTAGAATTAAATCTTCTATCCTTTAGAATGATAAATATATTTTAACTAGATTAGTTAATTTTGAGAGAAAATGTATATATATTTAATTTTTTTCCATAAATTAATTATTAAATGCTATAAGAATATTATAATAGAAAAGTGCTTTTTATAACAGGATGTACAGGTAAACATTATAATGATATATATAAAGGATTTGTGGGCAAAGTATTGTTAGAAAAGACTTTGCGTTGTTTACCAAATGTTAGATATATTTATGTTCTGATCAGACAAAAGAAGGGTAGTAGTTTAATGGAAAGGTTTAAACGAGAGATTTTGGATTCATAAGTAAGTGTTTATTAATAAGTTAGTGTTTTGATCGATTGAAATAGATTTATGGGGGAGGTTTTGAAAAATTCATAAATGAGAAGATTATTCCTATTGAAGGTGATATGTTAAAGGAGGGTTTAGGAATGACTGAGAATGATAAAAATATTATAATTGATAATGTGAATGTAAGCAAAAAATAATCATTAGATAATAATTAACTGTGCTGCAAGTGTAGATTTTAATGCAAGATTGGATGATGCAATTTAAATTAATGTTAGAGGTCCTCAAAGATTTATAGCTTTAGCATAGCAAATTAAAAATCTAGAAAACTTCATTCATATTTCAACAGCTTATGTAAATTCAGATAAGGCTGGTTATATAGAAGAGAAAATATATGATGTAAATTAAGAGAACTTAGAACAATTAGTATCTTAATTATTGAAGACTCCTGTTAGTATATTGGAGAAAAATGTAAAAGATATTATTGGAGATTTTCCAAATACATATACATTTACAAAGTGTATTGCTGAAAAACTATTAGTTTAAAATAGAGCTCCCAATTTTCCACTAACTTTTGTAAGACCATCAATAGTAGGAGCATCATGGAAAGATCCAACACCTGGTTGGATTGATAGTTTAGTGGCAAGCAGTGCAATTTTCTTTTTTGTTGGTTTAGGATTAATAAAAACTTTGAATGGTGATGAATGTTTAATTGGAGATTAAGTACCTGTAGATTATGTAGCTGATTTTATTTTGGCTGCTGGTGCATATTAAAATGGAAGAAAAGAAGTAAGTGTTTATCATTGTTGTTCTTCTGCTAAAAATCCAATGACATGGTAATTAGCTAAAGAAGTAAATGCATTATTTTGGACAAGATCTCCAAGTTCTCAATAATTTTCAAAACCTAATTTAACATTTTATAAAAATGAAAAAATATATAAAATTATGTCTAAAGTTAAAAATGCTCCTGCTTTATTTTATTATTAGATTGCAAATAAGATTGGAAATAAAGAAATGAAGATTTAAGCTAAAAGATTAAAAAAGATTATTGATAGAGCTGAATCTATTAATGATACTTTTAAACCTTTTGTTATAAATGAATGGATTTTTGATAGTTCCAATAGTAATGTACTTATCAAATTTTTAAATGAATCTGATAAATAACACTTTAATATAGATATTGAACAATTAAATTGGAGATAATATTTAGAAAGATTTAATTGGGGAATTTAAAAATATATTTTGAAAGATTAAACAAGAGAATTAAGTGAATAGAGTACTGATGTTCTCAGTTAAAGAAATAAATAGTCTTATTTTAGTGATATTGAATGGTGTCTTAGTCACGGATAAGATTTTAAAACAAAAACTACAAAAGAACAAATAAGTTTAGTGATGAATTCACAAAGAGTATAATCAGTTATCAAATAATTAGTTGAAGAAAAATCTAAAAAATATCAACAAACTACACTTAATCTTGAGAAGTTGCATTAGAATATAGAAAAATAAGGTATTGATATTTGTGAAGTAATGTTTGCCAATTACAATATGGGAGTAATTAGGATGTTTGCATGGTTTATAACTAAAGTTTTTAGATAGATATATGAGAAAGTTTAAATTAATGAACCTGCATTATTAGAACTCTAAAATTATGATTAAAAAACAAGAGGTCCTTTGATTTTCATGCCAACTCATAGATCTTATATAGATTTCATTATGGTATTTATCTTTATTATTGTAGTGTTCTTATGTTTTTTTCTCATATAAAATTAAATGTCCACATATTGCAGCTGCAGAAGATTTCTTGTCTATGGCTTTGATTCCAACAATTTTAAGAGCTTCTGGAGCTTTCTTTTTGAAGAGAAAACAATTAGAAGATAATATTCTATATAAAACCATCTTTTACGAATATGTTTAAAGAATTTTGATTGAAGAGTGTTATTTAGAATTCTTTATTGAAGGTACTAGATCTAGAACAGGTAAGACTTTAAATCCAAAATTTGGATTGTTAAGTATTGTATGCGATGCTGTTTTTGATAAAAAGATAATAGATGCTACAATATTACCAATTACAATAAATTATGAGAAGGTTTTAGAGGCTGACACATATCCTTATGAATTATTAGGAGAAGAGAAGGTTAAAGAATCTTTACTAAGAGTTATTAAGGCAATTAAAATATTATCATCAAATTTTGGTAGAATACATGTTGGATTTGGAAAAATGATATCAGTAAAAGAATGGTCAAAATAATAAGGTTTAGATTCCTTTGAGAATATTAGAGATCGTAAAAAAGGTGTTGAAACTTTGGGTTATGAAGTAGCTTACTAATTAATTGAAGAAATGGTTGTAATGCCTACAGGAATAGTTTCAACTTTATTATTAATGAATAGAAGAGGAATTACAGAAGATTAATTGATAAAGAGATTTGAATGGGTATTAAGATAAATTTCAAAAAGAGGAGCAAAGACTTCAATTACTAATAATGGTTAAAGTGATGTAGCTGTGAGGAATTCAATTGGATTTTTATAAGATTTGGTAGATAAAAAGAAGAAAAATGTATTTGAATTAACATTAATACCAAAATAAGAATATAAGAGCATTCTATTATTAAGTTATTATAGAAATTAATTAGCTCATATATTCTTTAGTGAAGGAATAGTTTGTTGTGCTTTAAATGGATTTGGACATTTGTTATCTCATAAGGAAGGAGTAAGTATAGAAAGATTATGGGAAGAGAGTGATTTCTTGTTGAAATTATTAAAAAGAGAATATGTTATAAGAAATAGAATTACATCTAAAGAATAGATGATAAATTTCATTTAATAAATGATAGACAAAAATGTATTAGAGAAGGTTCAAGAAAAGATTAGAGTTAATTAATAATTTGGTGAATAAGCATCTTAATTTACATGTTCACTTATATGGCCTTTAGTAGAATGTTATTGGTCAACAATTGTTTATTTATATTAATTAAAAAGAGTAAGTGATACAAACACTACATTTGAATTATCTGAATTAATTACTTAAATACAAGGATTTGCTGAATAAATGTATGGAGAACATATAATGGAACATTATGAAAGTTGTTCTATAGAAACTATTAAGAATGCTATAAACACTTATTTAACTATGAGATGTATTAATATTAGTAAAAAGGATGATTCTGATTAAGTAAGTATAGTATTTACTGATCAAGAGGTAATTTAATTACTATAAATTAGTTATTGGAAGTTGAAGCTTAAGTTAAAAAATATTTAAAGAATAATTATTCTAAATCAATATCAAACCCTATAGATATTGCTAGATCTTTATTAGATTATACCATTATACCCAAATTATGAGTATTGTAATTTAGACTCATATATTAATTATTATAATATTTATGATTGATGCTCAATGATGATGTGATCCATGTCCCTTTTTGACATATTATAAACCACAGTATTTGCATGTTTATGGTGTACCTTCTGTTCTTGTATCTAATTTAATATACACTTAAGGATGTCCTGCATTAATATGTGTTCCTCCCTTATTTATTAATCAATTTTTTTATTACCAAACATCTAACAACATCAGAATCTACTTCTATTACAGGTATTTTGTGAATAAATTCTTCAGCTCTACTTTTATGAGTTTAAAGAGATCTCTAATAATTTAATATTTATAAATACTTTATGAGTTTCATCATAATCTAACCACTTATGTTGAGCTAAACTTGTATAAGATTTCACCATTTATGAAAATTAAGCTGATTTAGCTAATTGAATGCATTTTTACAACATTTTTGTATATTTTTATGATAATTAAATTATTAATAATAATAATCCTTAACTTATATCTTTCGAGTCATTTTTATTATTTGTAATCACTCGATTTACCTATTATTATTTGAGCATTCTTAAGATTATCCAACTCAGCTTATAAAATCATCAATTCTTCTTATTTCTAATGAAATTCTCTATAATTAAAATCAATATATACTTATTTTACTCTATAAATTTCTTTTTCCATGTATTTACTTCATCAAATAAGTATTTATGTTTTTCTTCAACATTAGTCGTTTACTCTTCTAGTTATCCATGTAATTCTTAAATATATTGATTTGCTTCTTCGATTTCTTTATCCTTATCCTATATCTATCTATCATAGCTATCTATAATATTTTATTTCTGTTCAAGTTTCTCTTATATTTATTAAATTTCATCTTATAAAATTTTTATTGTGTTAACTAACTATTAAATTTAACTATATGCTTAAGATAATTCACTTTCCTCATCTTCATTATCTTATTTACTTTATTGTTAAGATTCTAATTCTTATATTCTGTTCTGTAATTCTTGAACCTTTATCTTCCAAGGTTCTTCCACTTANACAAGGATTTGCTGAATAAATGTATGGAGAACATATAATGGAACATTATGAAAGTTGTTCTATAGAAACTATTAAGAATGCTATAAACACTTATTTAACTATGAGATGTATTAATATTAGTAAAAAGGATGATTCTGATTAAGTAAGTATAGTATTTACTGATCAAGAGGTAATTTAATTACTATAAATTAGTTATTGGAAGTTGAAGCTTAAGTTAAAAAATATTTAAAGAATAATTATTCTAAATCAATATCAAACCCTATAGATATTGCTAGATCTTTATTAGATTATACCATTATACCCAAATTATGAGTATTGTAATTTAGACTCATATATTAATTATTATAATATTTATGATTGATGCTCAATGATGATGTGATCCATGTCCCTTTTTGACATATTATAAACCACAGTATTTGCATGTTTATGGTGTACCTTCTGTTCTTGTATCTAATTTAATATACACTTAAGGATGTCCTGCATTAATATGTGTTCCTCCCTTATTTATTAATCAATTTTTTTATTACCAAACATCTAACAACATCAGAATCTACTTCTATTACAGGTATTTTGTGAATAAATTCTTCAGCTCTACTTTTATGAGTTTAAAGAGATCTCTAATAATTTAATATTTATAAATACTTTATGAGTTTCATCATAATCTAACCACTTATGTTGAGCTAAACTTGTATAAGATTTCACCATTTATGAAAATTAAGCTGATTTAGCTAATTGAATGCATTTTTACAACATTTTTGTATATTTTTATGATAATTAAATTATTAATAATAATAATCCTTAACTTATATCTTTCGAGTCATTTTTATTATTTGTAATCACTCGATTTACCTATTATTATTTGAGCATTCTTAAGATTATCCAACTCAGCTTATAAAATCATCAATTCTTCTTATTTCTAATGAAATTCTCTATAATTAAAATCAATATATACTTATTTTACTCTATAAATTTCTTTTTCCATGTATTTACTTCATCAAATAAGTATTTATGTTTTTCTTCAACATTAGTCGTTTACTCTTCTAGTTATCCATGTAATTCTTAAATATATTGATTTGCTTCTTCGATTTCTTTATCCTTATCCTATATCTATCTATCATAGCTATCTATAATATTTTATTTCTGTTCAAGTTTCTCTTATATTTATTAAATTTCATCTTATAAAATTTTTATTGTGTTAACTAACTATTAAATTTAACTATATGCTTAAGATAATTCACTTTCCTCATCTTCATTATCTTATTTACTTTATTGTTAAGATTCTAATTCTTATATTCTGTTCTGTAATTCTTGAACCTTTATCTTCCAAGGTTCTTCCACTTACTACAAATCAACTACTTACAATTGACTTTGCACAGAACCATTTCCTTGACTTGTTTAAAATCTTTTTACTGCTCCTTACTATTCCCAAGTTCCTCTATTCATATTTGTATTCCCATTTATTGGATAAATTTATCTATTGAATTACTATGGGTAACTTTATTATTATTATTGATATTGCTATTAAGCTAATGGTTAAACTTAATTTTAAAACGAGGGTTGAGAGACAAGCTTTACAGCTCCTTATTAACTTAGAGAGAATGGAGTCTTATATCCTACTCCATATGTAGGTGTAGAAATTTGTTATCTCATTATTATTACTTATAATAACTATTCAATTAAAATTAATTTAAACGATAATCATAAAATTAACATTATTCTTCATCCTAATATAAAAACAGATGATATTTTATTCTCTAAAACAAAAAAATAAAGAAAATAATTAAAAAAACACAAAAAGCAATTTGCATTAGAGTGTCAAGAGTTGGTAATTTTGAAGAAATACCTCTTATGTCAAGAAATAGCCTTTTAGCTTGTCTGCTTATCTATAAAATTACATACAAATTTAAATAGTGTATCGAATTAATACAAAAGGATTATTGGTTTACTTGAGGTGATGGTATATATAAAAAAAATTGTATATATTAATTAATAAATATTTCATAAAATAATATTATAAAATATTACATAAATATTTATTTTTTTTGTATAAAAATTAAACCCTTTCAATTAAAATCAACAAATAAAGTAGCATTAATAGTGTTTTTTAAATACTTTAATTACACCTCTTATTAAAATTATTTTTCAACATTTTATATATTTATTGTTTATTATAATACATTCTACTATCCTATCTTTCCTTATTATTATTGAACAATAATTATATATAAATTTTAATCATCAGTTATATCAAATTTCACTTAGCAATCCCATTAAATTTTTTTATTATTATCCATTGATTTTTATTCAAGTTAATTACTAGCATCTAAATATTTTATGATTGCATAATATTCTGCGTTGCTATCCTGTTTGAATTATAACAAAATTTTATTTATTTATTTAAGAGGTTTCTTCCATATAGATGAATCACTCGGCTATTTTGAAACCCTCTGTTTAACCAATATTTTCCTTCTTGTTGACTAAGAAGAATGTTAAATTTATGATTGTTCATTCTTTGACATTTCAATAAATGATATTGCATTAGTTGTATCTACTAATTACTATTAATCTTATTACTGTTCTAATTATTATTATAGTTATTGACTTTATTAATATGATATAGTATCCTTAATAGATGGTTACCAAAATTAAGTTTATCTAAACTTAAATTCTAATTTATGTTATTTTGCATATTCTTTTGGATTTTCTCTGGCACTCAGTAAATCTTTTACTACATGTATTGGTGATGGTTAAAGATTCATTTTTTTTAACTAATCTAATTTTTTGTATGATTGTGTATCNTACTGCTCCTTACTATTCCCAAGTTCCTCTATTCATATTTGTATTCCCATTTATTGGATAAATTTATCTATTGAATTACTATGGGTAACTTTATTATTATTATTGATATTGCTATTAAGCTAATGGTTAAACTTAATTTTAAAACGAGGGTTGAGAGACAAGCTTTACAGCTCCTTATTAACTTAGAGAGAATGGAGTCTTATATCCTACTCCATATGTAGGTGTAGAAATTTGTTATCTCATTATTATTACTTATAATAACTATTCAATTAAAATTAATTTAAACGATAATCATAAAATTAACATTATTCTTCATCCTAATATAAAAACAGATGATATTTTATTCTCTAAAACAAAAAAATAAAGAAAATAATTAAAAAAACACAAAAAGCAATTTGCATTAGAGTGTCAAGAGTTGGTAATTTTGAAGAAATACCTCTTATGTCAAGAAATAGCCTTTTAGCTTGTCTGCTTATCTATAAAATTACATACAAATTTAAATAGTGTATCGAATTAATACAAAAGGATTATTGGTTTACTTGAGGTGATGGTATATATAAAAAAAATTGTATATATTAATTAATAAATATTTCATAAAATAATATTATAAAATATTACATAAATATTTATTTTTTTTGTATAAAAATTAAACCCTTTCAATTAAAATCAACAAATAAAGTAGCATTAATAGTGTTTTTTAAATACTTTAATTACACCTCTTATTAAAATTATTTTTCAACATTTTATATATTTATTGTTTATTATAATACATTCTACTATCCTATCTTTCCTTATTATTATTGAACAATAATTATATATAAATTTTAATCATCAGTTATATCAAATTTCACTTAGCAATCCCATTAAATTTTTTTATTATTATCCATTGATTTTTATTCAAGTTAATTACTAGCATCTAAATATTTTATGATTGCATAATATTCTGCGTTGCTATCCTGTTTGAATTATAACAAAATTTTATTTATTTATTTAAGAGGTTTCTTCCATATAGATGAATCACTCGGCTATTTTGAAACCCTCTGTTTAACCAATATTTTCCTTCTTGTTGACTAAGAAGAATGTTAAATTTATGATTGTTCATTCTTTGACATTTCAATAAATGATATTGCATTAGTTGTATCTACTAATTACTATTAATCTTATTACTGTTCTAATTATTATTATAGTTATTGACTTTATTAATATGATATAGTATCCTTAATAGATGGTTACCAAAATTAAGTTTATCTAAACTTAAATTCTAATTTATGTTATTTTGCATATTCTTTTGGATTTTCTCTGGCACTCAGTAAATCTTTTACTACATGTATTGGTGATGGTTAAAGATTCATTTTTTTTAACTAATCTAATTTTTTGTATGATTGTGTATCATATAGTTAATTGTATATTTCTTTATTAACTAAAACAATCTCATTTTATAATTGGTCCATTTATTATAAATATTATATAAAACATAATAATGAAATTCCTAATAATAGATTTAAGGTCTTCTTTCATAGAATTTTATAAAAATGAGTACTATGTAATAAAGCTCACTTCTATTAATTGAGACCCATGACTTTAATAGTTATTATTAATTAAATGAATAATAATTAATAATATTAAAACTTATGAGTTTTTAAGTATAATGTTATTCACTATACAATAGACTACAGATTCAAAAAAAGAAGAATTTAGAAAATATTTGGAGAAAGCAGGAGTGATTGATCAACTTACAAGAGTATTGGTTGGGTTATATGAAGAACCAGAGAAACCTAATAATGCAATTGAGTAATTTAAGTTTTTTAGTTAGTTACGTGAAAAAATATTTGGGATCTCCAGTGGATATTGATGTAGATAAACTTAAATTAGAATATGAAAAACTTAAGGATGAAAACATAAAATTAAAGAGAGAAGTTGCAGAATTAAAAAAAGAAGTTAATAATTTATTTTATAGTTCTTTAGTTATAAGCAGCTTAATAAGAATAAAATTGAGATATGTAAATTTATATTTGCAATAATAATAAATTCTACTTATATATCTTACATCATATCAATTAAATAAATAAAAATGTTGTCATCATTCAAAAATAACATCTTCCATTTCAATTTCATCTGATTTAGATTACAAATAATTTGGACCTGATGTTGTTTATGCTAAATTATGTTAAGAAACATTCATAGTATTTAAAGGAGGTCTTTTACTTGCTTTGATATGATTATCTTCTTCTTATTTCATCTTGTTATAGTCTTCTGCTATTTAATGAGATTATTGAAACACTTTTTAAATAACTGGTCCCAATTATTATATAAGCCGAGAATTTATTTCTTTTTCATTTTCTTCTACCTTTACTTCTTAGTAGGCTCTAAATAATTTTAGCATTTTATTTCGAGTATCGTATCTAGACACTTTGCCAATTACATTTACTTTGTCTATTGAATCCTTTTATAATTATGGGTCTTTTACTTAAAGTCCATGCCATGTAATTACTGGTTGTGGGATATAATTAAAAATTTGCAACTGATGTTAATCTAGCAATAAACCTTTTAGTTTATTGATTTCTTAAAGTTTCTACAAAATAAGAACAATATCTAGATCATTGTTTATATTGATTGTTGACTTTTGAAGGACTATATAAATTCTTTTATATCTTTCGAAATGCCTGAAACAAGAAAGATAATAAATTACAAAATTCAACCCTAATTTAATTTTCTAGTTAGCCATAAGTAAATGTTCAACCATATTTTATATAAAAGCCTCTTTAAGATGGTCAATAGATCCATGTTCATGACTAGTTGGTTCTAATTTTACCGAATCTATTTCTTTAACATTAGATGATTACTGAACATCTTTTAGCAAATCTGTATCTGATTTATATATTTAAGTAAATCTTTAAGATTTGAAAATTCCTGTAACTTTATTAAATTATAATAATTTTTTTGTAGACCCTCTAAATCTTTGTAACATAGCTTCTGCTTTTTCTTTTTCTTTTTATATAAATTTAAAAATATCATTTTATTCTGCTCTTTTTTAAGATTTAGAATGATCATCTATTTAACATGAATAAAGAGAATTAGCAAGCATTAATTTAAATCCAATTGTATTGTAGTTAATAACAATAATACCAATTAAACTAGTGATCACTTTTAATGTTCCTCCAATAAATGAAATAAAATCACCAAATTTGTTATAAGATATAAAAGAAGAATAATATTCAGTAGAAATTCTAAGATTAACTGTAAAATAACTAGTTGGTTCAACATAATCATTCTAATTTATTATTAGATATTAATTACAACAAAATTTCTTATATTTCCTAAACGAAATGACCAGAATTCTCCAAAAAAAGTATCATCTTCAAAAGGAAAAATTGAATTATCTATCATTAGAGTATTAGGTTCTAAAAATATATCAGATACTTATTCTTAAAGTTTTTTTGTTTATTGATAAAAGTCCTAAAAAAGTTGTTGAGATATAATTTCATCATTAGAAAATGGATTTATTATGGTTGTAAACATTAAAGTAGATAATTTAAATGATTATCTTTCTGATAATAAATTCAATTATTCAGTTGTAAAGCATTATGAAGAATCTTTACAAGGAGCAACTTTAATTGAAGTGTATTAAAAACTTTAAGAATTATATGTACCTTCCAAAACAAAAGAATAATTTAAAGGTAAACAAAAATAAGAAGTAAAAGTCTCTAATTCATCAGTATCAGATATTAAATTCAAGGATGAAAAATGATGACTTGTACATTATTCAAGAGTTAAACTTGCATTAACAGTTTTAATTCTTGTTTTATTAGGAAAAGTAGTATAATGATTCTAATATATAGTAATATTAAACATTGTCTAATTTGTTGTATTTAATAAAGTTTATAAAGGATCATCTAACTTAATACCTATCATAAAATTAGAGATATTGAGAACTCTAGCATTTGGACTGATATCATTTATTGTTCTAGTGATAGCCTTATTCTTAAACACAGTCTTACTTATTGATCTATTCTATTGATTAAATCTACTCCTTAAGAAATAAAAACATAAAGCATGGCAATCCATACAACCAAACTCATGAAACCTCCAAAAAATGAAGTATACTTTCCTTTATTTTAAATATTCAATGTTATATCAGCTCCAAACATATCAGCAGCTTGTATGAATCCTACAATTTTTTAATACATTATTATTAAAATATTGTTTATTAGTATGATTGATAAAATACTAATTCAGAATATTGATATAAATGATTTTTATGTATATAATTAATTATTATTTCAAATTCATATCATTTTAAAAGTGAGAACTCAAATATATCTGATAGATATAATGCACTGTTTCATTAAATTTTTATTTTATAAAATTTAATTAAAAAAATGGGCAATTATTTTAGAACTGTACCCAAAGGACCATTAGAGGAGACTTTAATCCATTTTCTTAAAACTAGAAAACTATAACATATAAATGATGTAAAAAATACATTGAAATATTTAGTGTATAGAAATGATTAATGATTCTTATCCAACAAAAAGTACTTTAATATTGGATGAATATTTGGATGTATTTGGTGGAATATTAGAAGAATGGACAGAATAAGTGTTTCTATTATTGGAAAATAATAATTCAGCTGCTGGATAAGTGGATATTTATGAAAGTTTAGCTGTTATTGTATGAATATGCAATATCTAATAGATTGTCTTTTGTGGAGAAGAATTCAATATTAAATTGGAGTTCATTTATAAAATGTTTGACTTTGATTAATCTGGTGAAATTGAAAAAAAAGAACTTATTATGACACTATAAACAAGTATTAGAGCATTGTGTAAAATTGCAAAACTGTAACCTCCAGAACTTAAAGATCTAGAATATTTTGCAGAAAAAATGTTTATTTAATTAGATTCAGATAGAAGTGCATCTATATCATTCCATGAATTTAGTATATGGCTTTTAAATTCATGGGAATTATAAGATTTTATGTTATAATATGCATTAATACAAACCTTTGAAAATGCTGATAGAAGAGCAAAGGAAAGAAGAATCTTCTTTCAAAAACTTTATGAAACTGCAGCAGGTGGACCAGATTAATAATATTGTGATGATGATTCCATAAAAACATTGTTATTAACAGAACTTAAAGAATAAAAGAAAGAAACTATAGAATTGCTTATTCATATTTTAATTTAATCTACAAAAATACATTAAAAGCATGATGAATAAAATCAATAATATCCAAATGGAATTTTAAAAGAAGCTTATGAAGATATTATGGCTGCATGGAGTGCTTTTGATGCTTCTGATATAAATTCTGATAATTAAACATCAATTTAAGAATTGAAGTTTTTATTGTATGCTTATGAAGGAGATAAGCCAGATTTATTTAGAATTAAAGAAGAAATGAAAATCTTAGATAAAGACAATTCAGGATATGTTTCAAGAGAAGAATGGATATAATACTTATGTGTTGAAGATAAGGGAAAATTCTAATTTAGAGGAAATCTTAAATAACTTTTTAATAAATATGACAAAGATAATAGTGGAGCACTTAGTATTCAAGAAATAAAATAATTATTAACAGATAACATGAAAGATATGCAAATTAAATTTAAGGTATTAATGATTTAATTATTTTTTTTATAGTTAAAAGGATAAAATGAAAACTTTGAAGAAATGGTTAATTAACTTGCTCAAGAAGTTGTTGATGACTTAAATTCAGAAAATGATAAGTAATCTAATGATAGAACTGTATAAATTTATATTATAAAAAATAGTTAACATGGATAGAATTTAAAAATTATATGGATCAAGCTGTTCTTAAATTAGACAAATTAAAAGATTTTTTAAAATCAATTTGATAAATTAGAACATAATATATAAAATATTATTAATATAAAATGAACTAAATCTAAATTATCTTATAATTATTTCATTCTCCTTCAAATTCTATATTCCCATCATCATTTATATCTTTTTGTTATATTTTGAAATTCATTTTTGTATCAAATTTTTACTCAGAAGTATTTAATAATCCATGTCTAACAGATTATACTTAAATAGTTGGAAGAGTTTAACTCAAATCTTCTTTTTATTTAGCTATCTCTTAGAGTTCATGATATTTTTAAAATATCATTTCCATTGTTGGACCTAATAATAAAATTAATCGATTATTAACATCATTTTATGATTCCTTTAATTTTAAATAGGAATTGTAAACCTTTGCAATTTTTTTTTAAGAATTATATTTTATTCTCTTTTTGATAATTCTTGCTCTTTTTTATTGATTTATTTTTTAAATTAGTTAATTTTATTATAATTATTCATCTGTTGATATTTTATAATGTCGATCAACAAATATTACAGGTTTTGGAATATAATTAAATACAGATATTTAATCTTTATCCAAAATCGTTGCCTTTAATTTTTCTATCTATTAGATCTTACTCAATATTGT